TAAAGACCACTAATTGCATATTATTTGACAATTCTAAGAAGTAATCAAGCATAGATGTGTTAATTTTTATCATTGGTAGGTATGAGTGAACGAAGGCCAATCACCAAAACCTCCGCCCCAGTGATGATATATTTTATATTAAATTGTTGAATATATAAATAAAATATGAACTGGCAAGATATTAGTACTGAACAGTAACACCGAAAGACGTACTTGAAAAAAAGTTTCAAAGAATTTTCAGAAATGTGTTCTTGAAAATTATAACTTTTTTTTTCTTAATGAAGATTACCCTAACTAGAAAACCCTAACATTTCGGGGGGTGTTATAATATAACCTGAGTGCGAGTTTGAGTTGTATTAATATTGACACCACGTAGCAAAACATAGATACGTCCGATACGTTTTTCCAGTAAATTGCGAATATATATAATAATATGATGTATTTATTATATAATATAAATACTGTACCTACAGTATTGTGGTGAGGTATTAAACACACATATATTATATCGAGAGAGAGAGAGACACACACAAATATACAGAGAGACATCTAATCATTTGCGACGTATCTATATATAGAGTTTTCGGGCCCGAAACGTGCTATATTCTGTTGTTTACTAGTTCTGGTGTATATTCTGGGGGGGAGTGGTGGTGGTGGGGGGATCGAAAACGATAGAAAACATACACGGGTTAACAGCGACCGTTCACAAACAACGACGTTGAAACCGAACCGGAGAGCCCAATGACAACACACACGCTGACATATTGTGATGTCGTATATTAATCCCGTTCGGTGTTATTATTATTCCCGTCCGCTTATCGTTGGAATGTGGATAGGAGGAGGGCGTGAACCGGAAGGGAAAATACGTGGGCATATATTGACACTTGGTACTCCAACAGCATAGCATAATATGAAATTCACATCAATTCCGATAGATCTAGATTATAATAAATCCTCGGCATCATAATATTACAAGCAGGGAGGCGTAAACATATATTATCCAAAAAATAAAATATTCGAAATATTCAATAAAAATAATATACTCACAGTATGAAAAAAAAATGCATCTACAAATGGAATACTTTTACGTATGAAGTATTTGTGTAGTGAAATATTGATACAACTAAATTGTTCTTATGCTGGTAGCTAGTTTGTTTATTTTGCAAATGTAACTAGAAAAATAGTAACAATTTCTATTTTTTTCGGATATTATGTTGTTCCTATGATGGTTTACACCTTCAGTTGTGTTCATCCAGTTACTCCTACGCATGGGCGAGGATAGGCCTACGGGGAGAAGCCAAGATTTTCCCAGTGGGCTCCCCTCCGTATTTCGGGAATGGTGTCTTTTTTATCTTTTGACGAAATTAATCTTTGACGGTTTTATTATGATTATAGTCACTTCTTGTCCCAAACGTCACCGAAAATTTTCGACCAGTGACAGCAAACACTATTATTATAACTTATATTCCAATTTCTAAGTGGGTAAACGTAAAAAATTGTACCTAATTATAATAAAACTACCGAAAAAAAACACATATCACTCACGTCGATTTTGGCTCCGGGAATCGTGTGATTGATGTACGGCGGTACACGTCCCCTTATGTACTGGAACAATTTGTCACCGCTCTTGGTCCACTGGACCTTGTAAAGTTGGTTTTCCACCACCGTGTGGTTGCATCTCAGTACCACTGTCTCTCCCAGTTTGGCGTACCTGGGAACGATGGCCGACAGCTCGAACAGGTCCTTGCAATCTAAAAAAGGAAACGTAGTGAATGTCTTGCGGGATGACCGCGGTTAAGTGTATATCATTATTATTACGGTAATATGTATACATGGAATAATGATTGTGCGTGCGTGTATGTGTGTGTGTGTGTGTGTGTGTGTGTGTGGTGGGTGGGTAAATGTGTGCGTTGGGTCCAACGTTTGTGTTCGCGCGGCGCTTCTTTGACGGAAGTTGAGAAATTTTAACTCATCCCGCAGTTCACGCTATGAATTTATAAACGGGACGTCGTGTGTATATATTTGCATTACGGAATTTAGTGTTTTGCGCAGCACAAAGACGGTAGAGCTGCAACATGACTGGTACATGTACGAGCAACGATAAATTATTTATGTCAAAACAATTTTTCAAAACTTTTTTTGTTTATTAAAAAAGAAGTGTACCTAATACATTTTAGATGAATACTCAACTAAAAACTATACGGCTGCTCAATTATACCAAAACCGTTGTTTTCTCACTTCAAAGGAGTAAAGGGACGAATTCTTGTAAAAAATATTTAGGTATATACTATATATTATGTAATAGCGACCGCGTTTGTACCTTCCGATACGTGGTTGTGGCCGCCATAAAACTTTTGGTATACTGTGCGAGAATTTTACAATCAGTTCTATAAATATAACAAACAATTTTGAGCTATATTAGTTGTAAACTTGAAGCTATAAAAAAAATATAACAAAAAGTAATATGGCGATTATATTTATTAAGTTTTTATCTATAGGTAAATTATAACGAAGTTTTGAAAATGAAAATAGTTTTACTAGGTATATTTAAATATTGATGTACAATTTGTACAAGACAGCTTTAATATAAGTACATATTATTCTTATATTAGATTATTTCAAACACTTCTTAATATTTATGCTTTTCTTTGACTTTGAACTTGTATTAAAATCATATTCAATATCCCATCCTATCAAAATTATCATATTTAGATCATTTTAATTTTTAGCATCTTAACTACTATCTTAGAATCCAGATGAGCGAATACGTCATATTTCATAAAAATTATGATATTTTCATTCAATTTTGAACAAAAAGAATAGAAAATATTTTAATGGTTAATAAAATACAATATATTATTATGTTACTGTTAAAATATAATTGCCATTCGAACAGTATTCGTGAAATGTGACCTAGAGTACCAGTAGATATATTTTTCGAACTCTGGTGCTGATAACTTTTTACTATTATATGTTTTGTTAGATTTTTATGAGAGTTTGGTGTACACATTTTGGAATATTTTCTTATACATCGAGACGCAACACTAGAACGGAAGATAAAAGTGTCTTTTAACACTTAAAATAAAATTCAAAATAGTCTCACAAGTATAAACTGCACTTAACGTTGTTAAATGACATAAAAAAGATAAACATTTGAGTAAACAATATTATGATAAATCTAACAATGACGAGGTGTTGATGGTATATTATTATGGTATTAAATATAGAAGAGATAAAATAAATTGCACAAGACATTATTGGTTGAGAGGAAAACGATATAATAAAAAAAAATGTATCACATCATAGAGTTTAAAGATAACAATTTGATATTTAATATGCATTAAACCTGTGGTATCTCAAAATATCGTAACCGTAAGTTTATATACTAAATAATTACGATAACATCGATATAATAACCTGCCTATAACAACAGTTGTATTGTTGTGATAATTTTGAGAGGATAGAGTCCAAAATATTTTTCTCACTGTGTCAAATACGAATCGTGCTTAGTTCCTAAATATTAAATTGTTTTGTTGAAAATAAAAACATTATTTAAATTAAACTGATTTTGTACTTCGGTTAACTTTCTTAACATAACATCCTTATTATATAATATTTTGTATTTTAAAATATCTAATGGTTAGGTACTGACAGTTTTAATTTCTATACCTATTTAAGACAATTTAATAAAATATCTCCGATTTATTTTTTCAAAATATGCTTTAAAATTAAAGAATGATTTTTATAAAAAATAAAAATGAATATTTGTAAGTAAAAAGTTTAGGTTTTTTTTTGAAATATTGTATGTATGTGAACTAAGAACTAGAAAAATATAAATGGTATACTCCTTATTGATGCGTTTTACATTAAGTAACTGTAAGTTTGTACAACATGTAGACGTGTAACAATTATATATGACATATTGACATTTTAAAATACTGTGAAATGTTATTTGAGGATATGAAAACATTTTATTATATTTTATAAAGAGACTGACACTTATATAAAAAAAAATTTTTATGCAAAATCTATAGACATTTCATTTCATATGTAAATAAAATATGATAATGTACGGTTTGAAAGTAATGGTTTTCTGAAAATGTATAGGCATAGGCATACGTCCTACTCAATATTATACATTTTTTTTTTTTATTGAACTGAAGCCCGGTGACTAAGGCCATTAGCTGTTGTAGGGGTTATGAACTGTGGTAGGGGTAAGGTTGGTACGGTAGGTTGTTTCTACGATTGTTACGGCTGTTACGGTATAGGTAACAAACACGTGTATGTCTGGCAAGGTTCTTAACTACTCTGAACCCGGGTGGTCACCCATCCGGGAGCTAGTAGCTGTGGCCGTTACTTACTCCCAGTCGCATTCCGTGACTGGTAGCGGCCAACGCGCCACACCAAGCCACAATATTATATTTTTAATGTACCGGTTAAACGATAGTTCTGTTTTACGTGTTTATTTCGTTTTGAATGATTTGAATTATTGAACCTAACGGTATAGACATTCAAAATTGTATTTTTTTGTGGATATACCTATTGCTCCATTAATTACAGTCAGCATCAGTCAAGACATTGATACGAGAGAAAATAATCAAAATCTCCACACCATATTATGTCCGTAGGTCCGTAATATTATAATATTGGTCTTCGGATGTAGAAGAGTGAGATGACCATAAAAAAAAGGTTCTGCGAGAACCTCATGGTCCACACATGCACATAATATAGTGGTTTTGCAATCGCGTCGATTGAACACGCACAAACGTTAAAAGTGCTACTGTGGAATAATTTAAATTCCCCAAGAGAACCAAAGAAACGTTTTTCAGGTCACCATTCAATTTCATTTAAAATAATAATAAAATGAAAAAACAACCATTTCCAGAGTAAAAAATAATTCCACTGCAGCATATTATAATAATATGTGTAGTCATACGTCGAATATATTATTTTGATCGTTCTGTATTCATTTTGCAATGAATCGTATATGATACTCACCATGCATTTTATAATGGTACATTTTCTTCTTTTTAATTTTGTACTACACTAAACAACAAAATATCTTTCATGTTCGAGGTTAAACAAAACCAACTTTCTTTGAACAATTTTTGGAATTTCAAATGCAAATCAACAATAATTGAGACTATATAATATATTATATTTAGTTGAAAACGAATAAAATAGAGATATTATGTGTAAAAAAAATTTAAGAAAACATAATTGTTTCTATAACTGATGTGCATAATGTCAAATTTAAGTGCGATTGTATGCCAAGAATATTGTTTTTCATAATTGTTAATATTAAAATCATCAACACAGAAGAACAACTGACAAACGTTTTATTTTTATGTTTATTTATATACCTTCCAGTACTAGACCAATACAGAAACATAACCAACAAACTTATAAGTTTATAATACGGGTAATACAAATTAAATTGTTTGAAGTTATTAGCATATTAATATCAATGTCGGATTGCGTGCGCCATGTTTATATCACCTTGGATTTAATTTAATTTTAATGCAACAATACACAATACTTTATGATATATAATACAATATAGATATGGTCACACGTTCAGAAACGGTAAAAGATTCATCACCTAATTATTACAGTTTCTCTACATCGTAAAATTTAATTAATTATTCCACTATTGGATTCGGTATAACGTTCTGCTTCTTTTTCCCATGGGCTTGTTATACTGTGCCGGTAAAGAAGAAACTGTGGCATAATTGTTATTAATATTCATTGAACAATATACTTTTAGAATCATAACAACAAAACTCGTGCATCATCAGGGCATATAAATCGTAATAATTGAATTACATATTTTTAAAAGTAAAGTTAATTTAAATAATAAAATAAAATCTTATGAGATAAATTGTCATAATTTTAATAAATTATTCTTTATCCGATGTTATTTTTGTTGATTTACTTTAGGTTTTACATTAAAAATAGTACTCATTGAAAAATAATAATTTAATATAATCATAATAAATTATTGATTTGAACCATAATATTGTGATTAGTAAAAATACAGTTTTTAAAAGTCATAATCTTTGTAATATTTTAATATTATGTCTTTGGCAAGAATACACGATCAAATAATATTTTATTGTTCAAATTCTTTGAAATTCATTTTGACTTTTGAGTAAATATTAGTTGAACATTTTATGAGTTTAAAAATTTAACTCAATAGAGTTAAACACACGATAAAATATGAATTTTATAGCCACCATTAATTTCAAGTCAACAAAATAAATTATATTATCTCTTTTATTAAGGTTCGTGAATATACGTGGTTTAGATAAGTTCCGAGTTGTTCACCAAAAGCAGCAATCTCTTTAATAATGTAATCATATGATTTAAGTAAAGATACAATATCTCCAAAAATACCAAAGGATATCTTAAAAACTGAATAAAAATGAATAAATGTTTAATTTTAATCTGAAGGAAATATTCTTAAATTATATTAATTTATATGATTAATATCATATAGTTTTATGAATAGTTAATCATACTGTACGAATATCAAAAGGATCTTATTAAAATATTCCATTTAAAATTTGAATCGGAATCCTCCACCAATTAAGACTGTACTGAAAATCAAAATTAATAATAATAAAAAAGTTTTGTAGTTAGAAATATAAACAATAATGTAATAAGCTAAATATTTAGAGTACCTATACGTGACAAAGAATTGCAAATCTTTCCAATAAAAATAGAAAAATAAATAGACCTTAAACGATAG